AAGAAATACACTATACTTCATGAAATCATGATTTATGATAACACCACCGCTTCATAAGTTTAATGCTTAAATTAAATTAATGTTCTTCCTCCCTCTGTCTGGGTGAGGCAAGGAACAAATTCCGGGAAAGCTCTTTGAAGTCTTTAAGGGAAGAAACTCCTTTCTATCTGCCACTCCTCCTCACAATGGGGTCCTGAGCCTTATGCTGTGTCTCTACATCTGCACAGACCCCTAAAGAGCTCACACTACATGACATAACCAGCAAGGTGAGAGGGAGGGTCAGAATGAAGTGCTCCTTAAGGCACCTTCCCCTGACTACCCTGGAGTCAGCCCTGCCTACCTGTACACAATCCTTTGTTCACCCCCCTCATTGTGGGAGGTTAAAACTTTCCTTTAAAAAAAAAATAAGTACACACAATTTTAAATGTAGGTCATGGTCAGTACTTCATGTAATCCTTTACAGACACCTACTGTCCAGCATATTTACCTGAGGTTTATGAGGCTCTGGTCCCACCCCTTTGTGGAAAGATGTCTTCTCCTACTCTCTGAGTGTTCTCACTGCCTGGCTAGGAGCTTGCTAGCTGGAGCATTGCCACAGAACATTCAGTCATTTGCTTTCAGTGGCATGCCAAAGAGAAGGAACATGACCCCATAGCCTAAGGACTGAGTGGAGATACTTGGGATTTTCTTATGCTTCAAAGAAAGATCTGAGAGGTAAAATCAGCCTTGTCCCCACCTTTCCTTCTGAGCATATGCAACTATATAGAGACTGGGTACCCCTTCAGTGAGATATCAGTTTGATTTGTCTCAAAGACTGCACCTAATACTGCAATTTCCTAAGAAAATAGAAAAGCATTGTGGATACTACACAGACCCTGATCTACATAATACAGGGATCCTGGTCTGGCACATCAGGTAGGCAGCTTGCTCGGCTTGCTAAGACCTTTGCTGGTTGCAGTCTGAACTCTTCTTCCCTGGGCTTGGAGGGTGTTATCTGGAAGGGGATGTAACTGGTAGCCTGTGAGTGTCCCACTTGGTCCAGGCCTCACTGCCAAGTGACACTTTTCAATGTGCATCCTGCAGCCTTCCCTCGCCAGTTAGGTACAACTCCAATGTGCTCTCCTCTTTGTCCTCAAAATGTAGCGTTATGGATTGCAGCCTTGTAGATGCCAGGCAGGGATGAGCCTGCTCTGGGAAACAGGCCCAGCAGACCTGCAGAAAGTGTGACTGGATACTTCACAGCTGACATGAACTGATGTGGAAATGTAAGCTAGAACTTAAGGCATCGCTGTCAGCTCATCTAGTCAGAAACCTGTTTGAGACTGTGCCATCTGCACACTCCACTGACTGCTCCAGCCGGTGCCCGCTGCTGCTCGGGGCTGGAGACAGGGCTGCTGCTCCTGAAGCCTCAGAGCTGCTCCTTCCCCTTGGCAATCACTGCCTGCACAGTCCTGTGGTGTGGGCTGGGGCCGGCTGGGGATAAACAGGGCGATGTCAAGCTGGGGTGAGCTTTCCAGTCAGGTTGTGTCAGTACACATTGCTCAAGAGGTGAAGATGCTCATGGTGTCTTCCCTGTCCATTCCCTGGGCCATTCATTCATTTATTTGTGCTAGTTTTACAGGAAATATCCCTCCATCTTTAACTGCATCTTAGGTTCTTTGTCTGGCGAGCCATAGAAAAGGCAAAATGAGGTTCTATAAGAAGACATCTGTTTGTAATGCATGCTTTTCTTCCCTTACCTTCTTCTCCAAGACTGGATCAAGATTTTCCTCATGTGAATCCCAGGAGTATCTGCAAAGTAAGTTAAAGGAGGGGTTGTTTTCCAGACTGCTCCACTTGGAAGAGAAAAACAAGTGGTCTGGCATCATTCAGGGCAAAATGGAAGAATCCTACAAACACTAATGTTTCCCTGGGGCTAGACAGCCTCCGAGAAGGAATGACAATTATGATTTTAGACATCTTAAAACGTCTGTATGTATTTCAGGGGCCTAAATCCCACCTAACTCTGTTGGGGTATGTCTAGGACATGCTTGAGGAGAACTTCAAGGCACAGAGATAGTGAATTCTTATCAGACTTTATAATATCACAAGAATTAAATTGAAATTGCTCATCCTGTGAAATGGGTTTTAGTGACCTCCCTACGGTGCTGGGAAGATCCTCTGTAAGTTTTCTGGAGCCATCCTTTCTGGATGAGTCCTGCACACACGTTATATCCCTCAGAGAAGTGATATGAGATGGGATAGCTCTGGTGCAGGTGTAATAGGAGAGCTTTTAAAGCGTTAGAAATGTACGTTCAGAAGTGTGAACTTTCTTCACTAAGAGGGTAAACTAGTCAGGATAGCAAATCCAGTTACAATTAATTAATTAATTAGTGCATTCATTGGGAAGGACTATGAAAAGTCTAGCTGCTCATCCTAGAAGATAGGCTGAAGCCAACACTAAAGTTACGTTTCTGTAAGGACAGAATATATCCCAGAGGATGTGAATGGGAGGATTAGTCTGTTTCTAATTTGCAGGAAAGTGTAGCTCTGTTGCTGCCTCAGTGCTCTCAGGTATCCCCCAAAAGAGGAATTCTCAAGAGGAAGCTCCTGTTATTTGTGTTTGTCTCCAATATTGCCCTACCACAGCTTTTCACGGAGGAGACTGGAATTGCATCACACTTTTGCAAAGGTTCTAATGAGCGGTACTGACGTACTTCCCAAGGCAAAATGTAGCCACCGAATAAGCTGTGCTTATGGTAGAGATGGTTTTGTTCTAGGAATTCAGGTTTAAATCTCCAAAGAAATCTTCACGTGTTACTGGCACATTTCATTTTGGCTTTTTTTTTGTCACGGAGAGCGGCATCTCAAACCGCACAGCCCGGCTCCTAGAAAATTCACCCACCTCCCAGTCTTAAAATCCACTCTTGCCTTAGGTCCACAGCTTATGAAAAAGTTGTCCTGGGAAAGATATCTCCCTCCCCTCCTCCTCCTCCACCCTGCAGCAGGACCCATTGTCTGCCGGCGGCAAGGCATAAAGGAGTTAACGAAGGAGCCGGCGAGGAGGTATGACGGGGTGATGTCAGAATATTTCCAGGGAAAGAATGTGTTGGGGGGCGCTGGCCGGGCTGGGGCTGGGGCTGGCGGCCCCCGGCCCCACCCCGACATTCTTCTTGTCCGGTTCCCACAGGCGGAGAGTGGCACGGGGGGTCAGAGTGGACGAGCACAAAGAGAGACCCCCTGCTGCCGGGGCCATCGTGCTGGGCTGTCACTGCTACTAATTCATGACTTCACCTTTAATCTCACTGATCCATTATAGGTTAAAAAGAGACCCATTTTACAGCTGACAAGATTGAAGGGAGCGCAACCCAGGAACTCGGGGGGAAGGGGGGGGGGCGGGCATGGGGTCGGAAAAAAAAAAAAAAGGGGGGAGAGAGAAAATAACCCCCGCTAAAGTTTGTACAGTCGGGACCATCTGCTAAAAATAGATTTGGTGGGGTTTGTTTGTCCTTTCCCTTCACTATGACAATACCTGTTTTAAGAGGGAAGTTGGTAACTGCAGCTAAATCAGAATTTTAGCTCACAGGGTCAGAGCAAAAAAGAACGGGGAGGAGGGAGAGGACCAGGGGGAAAAAGAATAAGATTTTAGGGCCAGGACTGCATAGTGGAAAGGATGGGAAGCGTTCAAATAGCTTACTGCTGCTTTAGAGCATGTTTGGTGAGGTCATCATGAGGAAATGACTAAGAAATTTATGAAATGCTGATGTCAAAGGTAAGCTGATCAAATCAACATTGATTCAGCAGAGCAATAACTATGTGTGTGTGACACAACATGTTTATAATGACACAAATGATGAATTTTCAGAAATCATTAGACCTACTGTGCTGTGAGCTGTAGAGGAAGTCTCCAGAAGTAATTCCACTGCTTTCATTAGTAGCATAATCACGATCAATTTGTCCTTTAATGAAGATTTTTATGCTGCTGCTGACGATGATGAAGATTTTTTATTTTCAAGCAGCTAAAGCACATATTTTCAGTGAATTTCAGAAAGTAAGCAAATTGGAAAGAAAAAAGTGGAGACTCTGAAAAAAAAAAGCAGTGGAGGAATGATAATTTACCATACACCTGCAAAAAGAGTTACTTTTTAGCATGTAGCAAAGAATTCAACATTCTTGAATTTCCTGGTTTTGTTCTACATCGGTGAGGATGCTGTAGGTACCTGTGTGTAGTGCTAGTTCAGGGGGTTAGGGTATTGCTCCTTTTTGCTTCCTCTGACTGATGCTCTTTGACAAAACCTTTTAATTTCCAAAGCAGTTTTACCAAGCCCACCAAACTGGTCACTCCTACTGTCCTGATTGTATCAGAGAACATTGAAGCTCTAGAAGGAGATTGCTTGCTGGTTTCTCCCTGTCTTTTGCTCTTGAAATGCTGGAGCTGCATCTCATAGGATTTTGCAGTGTAAATATGTAGTTTTATCCCGACAGAAGTGCAGAGCTTTTGCATCTGCTACAACACCCTGTTCCTTCCCTTTTCTCCTCCCAGCAGAGGAACTCTGGGAGTTACTGGCATCATGGTTGCCCCACTGCCACGAGGTGAGGGTAGAGAGTGGGAAGGTTTATCATGAGGATGCAAAGAAATTTGCAAAGATTTTTGGGGTTTCTGGGGTTCAAATCTGTGAAGGAGATCAGCTGCTGGTGTCTGTTGTGGGAAGGTATAAGAGAGAATGGGGGTCTTTCTCACGAGCTAAAGTCAGTGAGGAAAGTCCTTTTGAAAAGAGCCTCTGGATCAAACCAAAACCTGTTTTCCTAAGAGCGACACTGCCTGCAAATGGAGGCAGATTGAGGTCCGTAACTGGCCACTGCTTTGGATGCATTCTGCTTACTTTAGTCACACGAAATGACGTATTGATGCAAGTTTCCAGGATCCAAACAGGCAGCCCTTTCATAGGCAAAAGCCCTAATGAAGTCACTGGCACGCAGCCTCCGCTGGCCCAAGGCCTGCAGGCTATTTCCCTAGTCAATACACCGGACCTAATCTTATACCCCTTGAGCATCAAACTCCATGCGTACTTTCTGCAGCTATTTGTTCTCTTTCTGCAAAAGTGCAAGATTTGTGTGCGGTGGAGTGCGGTGTCAGTGAGCAGCTGCTTCTCCTTCAGCATGAGTTGTTCAGCACACAGACTTCATTGGCTACTGCTTGGACAAAACCACCCTGCAAAGCTGAGGCGAGGAGCAGCGAGGACACAGGCTGCCAAATACAAACCTCCTGTTTCAGTTTGTAAGTTTCTGGAAACAAAACAGAACAAAAATATTCAAGCAAAAGAAAATTTTTAAAGGCTTCAGCAAATATTAAGAAAATATCTATTTTTACCTGGTAAAGTGACTACTTCTAAATTAGTGGGACATGTTAACTCCTCTGGTTAAGTCAAATGCAATCAGTGGAGCTGATTAACAACAAGTTAAGAGTTACCTTGCAAAATGGATTTCATTAGCTCTTTGTAAGCTTAGTCCTTCTGGTTTCTGATCAGTCAGCTGGAAATATTTTTCCCATTCTTAAGAGTGTGAGAAATATAGATTGGAATGGCAACTTCACATATTAGCTTATGGTTACAAAGTGTCATAAAGCACTAAGTTAAAATGATAAAAATCATAGGGATGTTTCCACAAGAATGCTTTGTTTTAGGCAAGGAACTTATATTTGTTCTTTCTTTCCGAAATTTTTGATGAAAGTGTTTCCCATGAGCAAATGTTATAGTGCAATGCCCGGGTATAAAGGTAAAAAACATCTTTTAGAACTGAAAAATTAGTATATCCTCCACACTTCTCAGAAAATTATAGAATGAATAAAGTCATTCTCAGATTTATTTTTTTTATAAGTTTTATACACTTTTTGCAATGCTCCTGTAAGCAGGTGCCCAGGAGCCAAGAAAGCAGCTTCTGTGTGTATTGGATGGATTAGGGCTGAACTGCTGAACTGGATGGGAACAACTTGGCCTGGAAGTAAAAGAGGAGGGAATGAAGGTGATCCAGATTACCAATTAAGTGTGAGTCCTCCCTGTTACCACATCACTGTCACTTGGTAGGATAAGAGCTTACAGTTCATGCAAAACAGCCCTGAAAGGCTTTGCCTCTAGCTGTGCTAGATCTGATCTAAGCCCACAGGCAGGCTCTAAGCTCAAATATACCTGAAAATATTTGCCTTAAATATTTTGCTTTCTCTGGGAACTGACTTCCTTTGACAACCTGCATCCATGTTGTCATCAAGCTTAGTGTGCTATAAATACGTCCATGATCTTTGATGCCAATCAACTAATACCAGGTCCTTATCACAACAAGCTCACGGTGTTCTCAAGGAGTTATCTTTCTATCTCCTTTTTAAAGATGAAACTAATCCATTGTAAGCCCCATAACAAGGAGCCACTCACAGGGTGAAAGTATAAGTGCAGTTTTTAAATGGTATTGTATTTGTCTCATGATGCTTGCCATTAAAGACACAGGTATGAAAAGATGCTCTCTGTTTTTATGCAGCACTGCTGTGGAGATAGAGTACGATTTTCCTTGTGCTTGCCAAAGGGGTTGTGCATGGTTTAATTAAAATGTATTATTATCCTAAGGCTTTTTCTTTTTTAAAGTAAAGTCAAGCACCCTACCAGAGACACAGGACATTCATACACCCAAATCTGTGTCAGCATCCTGCTGGCAGTAAGAGCTTTTACACAAACATCTGATTGCAGAGTCAGAATTCAACAAAGCAAGAAGAAACAGGCTGAAGAGCAACTACCTAAATACATGCAATAACATGGAGAGTGGGAAGCGGAACTGAGAGAACAATAAATGAAGAAACAATGAAAAGGTCAAGCACTTATTCAGAATTCGTAAGTACAAATGTTGCAGTTCAAGCAGTGCAGGTGAAAAATGAAACTGTCTCTTCACAAATTTTTTTTTACTCCATATTTCTTTTTTCCAGCTCATGAATACCACTGAAGGAAATCTTGCTTATAGTGGAAAAACCCAAACATGAGATGCAAGTACTACATCAAAACAGAACAAAGCCCCATTTTTGTGTCTGTCTTCAGGAGAATGCACTGAATTAAAAAAAAAAGGTACATTTTGTGCAAATGACGTTGGAGCATTTGATGCCAAAACATGATCTTCCATCCTTCCTTTTCATATAGTGCTAGTTCAGTCAGAAATGGGTGGATGGCAGAACCCTCATTTGCTGTGCAGGTGAGCTGGGGCAATACATGTGTGGTGATCATGATTCTCCAACTGCAGAGTTCCCAGAGCATCTGGAGCAGAGTGTTCCCTGACTGTGGGGGGCTCACAGGTGGCTCTTGTGCCCACACACATACTGAGGCTGGGTGGGGGCAGAGGGCAGGTGTGCCCACGTGTAGGTGAAGAGTTTTGAGGAAAATGGAAGAAGGAAATTGTCATCTCAGGGGTTGTGAAGTCTAATACTATTTGAGATACTTTTACAGCCATCAGACCAAGCTCTCTTGGAAAGGACAAAAGCAAGCCAACATGGCATATTGAAACTCCCATATGTGGTACCTTCAGAGATTCCCTTCAGCAGTGGTGTATGCCATCACTACTCCTTACTCAGGAAAATTTATGTCCTTTTCTCAAATATTCTTCAGTGCTGTTTAAATCCCTCATCTTCTCCATCCCCTTCCTACAGTGCATATGTTCCTCTGCTCTCTGGTGGTTCTCCTTCGGTATGTGTTTCCTTGGCATGAGGTCCTTTCCTCCTCTGGACTTCCTGCATCATCACCTTCTCCCCCTGGCAATTCTGGCCCCATTGGTTTTTTGTATAGATCTTGTACAGTTTTTTTCTTCATGATCTAGAAGAAGCAAAACAGAGGTTCAGTGTCAGACAACCCTTGATGAAAAAGGAAGGGATGGGTCTAACAACTCCATGAACCTGCAAGTCACTGGCACTTGGAATCCTCTTAGCTCCGGCTGGGCCTGGTTGCAGTACGTGACTGGGCTGTAGAAACTGGTTTTCTCAGAATTGACAAGACAGCAAATGGAGTACCACAGCTTTGAGAAACGAGTGTGATTACACAGTAGCCTAATTTCTATTTAAATATAATCCAGAATTGCTTCTGCATTTCTCTGGCAACATGCTGGAGTAAAAATTTAAAAAAATATATTTTTTTTTTAAAAAAGCAAGCGAAAGCAAACAAACTTTCAAATTAATCCCCCTATCAACTGCATTACAACTAATACAGTTACATCAGGGTTTCCTTTGGGTCAATATTTTCTTTTGCCTGAAGGCCAAATAGGTATTTAAGCATCACCTAATAACCAAAGACCAAATACAAGCACCAGGCTGACATGTCATCCATTTCCCACCCCCTCCAGATTGTTTCTGTCTGTCTCATGCCCTTCAAATGGCAATGCAAAGCCCATATGCTAGGGTGTCAGGGAAAAATTCCCAACACGGCATCTGGCTGCATGGCAGATCCCGAGGCAGTTGGTGTGTCAGTTTTGGAGCTGCCTCTGCTTTTCTCATGTACCAGGGGTTGGTGATGGGACTGCCTTGTCACCCCACCAAACACTTTGGATTCCAAGGAATCACTAGGTTTGTGTTTGTCAATAAGCTTCTGCTTAACCCTCTCATAAGATCTCTATACAGGCCTCCTTTTATGGCAAAATAATGAGAATTTCTTAATGCCAATGGGAGTGTGTTCAGCAGAAATATGTGGGTTTAGTTTAAAGTGGGCTGTGGCCTGGTACATACAGGTCGCTGTGTACTAGGATTTCTTTCTCAGAAAACTCTTGAATGCTCTTTGAAAAGGTCTTTTTTTTTTTTTTTTTTTTTTTTTTTTTTTTTTTTTTTTTTCCTTTGCTCATGAGTGTAGAAGCCACTTCTTGGTGAATAGGATCCATAATGCCCGGAGATATTTGAGATCAAGCATATGGTCCATTGAATATGCATGGAAACGGGGCGGGAGGGAATTGGTGTGCAGCACTGGGGAAAGTGTGTCTGAAAGTTAAACATTGCAGGGTTCAGGGGCAGCCTTTCTGCCCATTTGGAGAGTCATTACTTTCTGTTTCCTCTGATATACTAGTTACTAGATAGCAATTTATGGTCAAAAGCATAGCTGGGGGGTTGAGTGCTCAAAGATTTAATCGTGGCTTGTGTTAGGCAGAAAAATACCATTTCACTTGTGGTTTCCTGCAAAATGCTTTATCTTACAACCAAAACATTAAACAATAAAATCTCAAGTTATTCAGAAGTACATAAAGATAAGAAACTTATTTAACTGACAAATGACCAGCTCTTTGCTAGGAGAGAGTCTCAAATGACTCTTCTTCACATTTACATGAAAAGAGTGCTTGGAGATTACACATTCTGGTAAGTTTTCCTTACCAGTGGAGAGAGAGAAAAGGAGACAGGACTGAATAGGAGCGATTGGGCATGAAGTAGTAACTATGAGGTCCTGGAGGCAGGAGAACAAGAGGGGGAAGGAAAAAAAAAAGACAAGAGAACCTAGAAGAAAGGCAAGGGGGAGGAGGGGTGGAGGAAAAGATATGTAGCAGTTATTTAAAAGATGCCAGGGAAAACTGGGATGTTTGTGTGTTTGACAAGAAGGACAATTTTGAAATACAGAATTTGAGCCAGGATGTATGAAGATTTACTGGAAATAACCCTGGGTAAAATGTTGCATATCTAAGATTTGAATGAGTTTGGGGGGAGGGAGGGGATTTTTTTCTGTCATTGCCACAGCATTTTTTTTTCACATGTCAAAATGTGAATTAATCTCTAAATCATAAATGTGTTATGATTAATTCATTTCATGGGCCAAAATAATCTATTACATTGCATTTATTTCGTATGGCTGCTGAAAGTCCTAGAGAAATGAAGACTTGAAAGACTTTTTAAAGTAACCTTCTCCCTCATATACAGGATGTAACAATGTGGCAACCACAGTGACGTGCACCATCATCAATATTCCTACCATAGTAAACACTCATTTTCTAATCTTACAAGTAAGAGTGGATATGGGAGAGAAGAAAGATTCTTCATTACTGCATGTAAAAGCCCTGAATAAATTGCACAAAATTGATCTCTTGCACATCTGAGTTGAGTCCTGCAGATGTACCATTTTGTGGAGGGCAGTGTGTCTATGTGTGTCTGTGAAAAATGCCTGTGGGGGGACAAGCTTCAAAATGATCTCTGTGTCAAAACCAACACCATTCTAAGACAAAACTCCAGACCTTTCTGCTGCCTGTCTGGTGCAGGACTGACCCTTCAGCATTCATCCATCTCTTAAATCTGATTTAAAGTCACAAATGTGAGGGGAGGAGAAACACCAGGTACATATACTGTTATTTTTTTCTATTCAAGTGGGCATTTTCAATGGTGGCTTTGCAAGAACAGTCCTTCCTAGCTATGGGTCCTGTGTGAGTACTGAGGATGACAGCTTACAGTAAGACCAGTCAATCTATTTCAGACTGCCCTGTGCAACTGTGTCTTTGGAAATGCTCATGCATGTATGATATACTTACATAATATAGGATCATTTGCTTTTATATGAGTTTGCTTTATATATATATTTCTGAGGAAAGACATTTATCTGTTTAAACAGTTTCTACAGTATCATGAACACGCCCTAATACCTTAGATATTTGTAAGGTACTTAAGCTAGACTGTCTCAAAAATAAGCAAAAAAAAGTAATAAAATTATGAGTCTTTTAAGGCATCTTAGTAGCAGGCTGGAGAACAAGCCTCCTGGCTGAGCTGCTCACAGTGATTTCCTCCCAGGAAATTCCATAGTGCAACAAAGCCAAATGCATTCAACCCTTGGGCCATCTGAATGTGCTGGAAGAGAATCCAGACTTTAGCTGGATTTCTTTACAGATCTCTTAAATGACTTCAAATGCTGTGCCTGTGGTGGTGGGGAGCCTGGGGGCAGGACTCTACTGTAAAAGCCATGAGTCACACATAATGTGCCACTCTCTGCAACGGTGCATCAATCCCTCTAGAGACTTTTCAAAGTTAATGAACATCTCTGGGTGCAGTGGTCTCATGCCTTAAGTTTGAAGGTCAGCATCTGTTTGCCACTCATTAGAAAAGTTTATTTCAGGGGGAAATTGTATAGATGCAGGGTACATGCCCTCAGAAAATTCAAAACAAAGAAGCATCTTGGATATGTTTATGTTGAAATCCACTTGCTACAGTTCTGTGTCCAAGAAAATTTTGTCCAAGTAAAATGTAATTGTCAGAATCTGGTTATATTCAGGATGTTTTCTGGGTTCTTAATCACTGTGGATCCTATTTCACAAAGATCTGAAATATGTGCTGGAGTCCAACAGGCTTCCATGTAATTTAAGCTGCTGTAACGTAGGCTTGGCCTCAAGCAGTTGCTGAATAAGCACAGGAGTGCACACACATGCTTAGATCCAGGAAGGTGCTTGAGAGCTGCACCAAGCCATGGCCTCCTTCTGAAACCTGACTTTCCATCACTAAAGGAGATGCTGCTGAAGGTCTGGCTTCCTCCAGGCATGACAGTCCAGGAATGAAGTGCCAAGCAGCCCTCCACCTTCAGGGGGCTTGTGCCAAAGAAGGCAGCTCTGTACAAATATTTCTCTGGAGTCATAGGAATTATGGCATGTGTGATCACTAAACTCATGCAAAACCCAGCACATTGTTCTTAAGAGACTGGGGGAAATGTCTGCTCTTGCACTCTTTGCTGATAAAAAGATAGCACTTTATGCACAGTAACTAGAGCCTTAATTAATTGCATTAATGAAACTAAAGAAGACTAAGAATAGTAGATGTATCTATATAAAACCTGTCCCAGATTCTAATGACATCCTTGAATTGTACACATACAGCTCATTCCTGTATGCTTGCTTTTCTCTTCATTGATCAGTTCTTGTCTGCCAGAGCTTCTACCTGTGTTTCCCCTGTTTTACAAACAGTCACTGTGAGAATGATGTACACATTACAACACCTTGTTTTGCTGCTCTAGGTCCTGACACATGGCACCAGGAACACCTGTGGCTCAGGGAATTATGCAGGCCTGTACATAGACACTGAAGATGCACTGAGGTAAGGATGGCAAAACCGAGAAGTCTTATGACCTTTGAGACAAAGTTAAATGCTTGCCCAAGTCTAACTGAAACATATTTCTTTATTTACATTCAAAAAATGCACATGTACAGTGTGTTAGATGTCAAATACATAATAAAAACACAAGAATTACAAAGCCAGTTACTAGACTAAAACTGACTTCTGCTGGCAACATGTGATATAATTTGTGGGTTTAGTTATGTTGAAAAGTGTGCCACTGATTTTCCCTGCTTGGGTCTTTGCATTTTTCCTAAGATTTCATCAGAGCTAAACAACTACAGAGGCTGCACTGCTTAATAAACAATGTTTTCTTTCATATTAGTATATCACAGATGTAGAAGGGACAAGCTACTATCCTACTCAGGATCTCATGGAATAGTCATGTGTTGGACACTGGGCAAATAAATTGGGCTGTATGGAAACCTGCTCACTGCTGCTGCTCTATGGCAATGAGCAAAAGGCAGAGGAAAGCACTGCAAGACTTGAACTGTTTCTGAATTCATCCCTTCTCTGCTTTGCCCTCCCCAAGATCTCACAGCTCTCTTTGTGCTTGCTGTGAAAGAGGAAGGGGGCTCAGTGGAGCTGGTGTTCCAGTCATCCAGCAGCCCTAACCACTCAAATTCCTACCCTTGCTGAAACCTGCTGCCCACTTTCCCAGTAAGGCAGGGCAACTTTTTTTTCCTTTGCAAATGAGGCATTCATAGGAACAGTAACCAGGGCAGGAATTTTCCAGCAAAGAATAATAGGTATTTCCTATGTGTACTTCCTATGTGA